GCGGGCCTTTTGGGCCGTCTTAGACCATCTTGAGGCCATCTTGGGCCGTCTTGGGTGCATCTTGGAGCCATCTTACCCGTCTTGGAGGCCATCTTGGCCGTCTTGGAAGCATCTTGGAGGCCATCTTGGGCCATCTTGGCCGTCTTGGAGGCCATCTTGGGCCAAGTTGGGGCAACAAAGGCATTGACAGATGGATTTTCGGAAACTTGCGGGTGGCCGGCGGGACGGGCCGAAGCCCACTGGGGAGTTCTTTTAGAAAAAGAACCAAAACCAAAACCTGAAACATCCAGCACGCCGTGCACCCCTGTGGCAAGACCACAGGGGGCGGCGGATCGAAGACGCCTACGGCGAATCACCGCCGCCCCCTGCCTTTTTGGAAGCGCCTATGTGGCCGAACGTTGAGGCCAGACCTGCCAAGCTATCGGACCACGTGTTCCCCGAATCGGTTTGGAAAGCCTTCGGGGAACACGTGGGCATCTTGAAGGTCATCTTGGCCGTCTTGGAGGCCTCTTGGGCAAGCTTTGGGCGATCTTTGGGGCTTTTTGGGCCGTCTCGGGCCAGCTTCGAGCCAACTTCGGCCATCTTGGTGGGTTCCTGGCACGTCTGAAGCCGTCGGAAGCCGTTTGGGGGGCCTCTATGGGCCGACTTGGGGCCCGCTTGGAATGCTCCAGGGCCGTCTTGGAGGCCATCTTGGGCGTCTTGGGGCCATCTTGGGCGTGTTGGAGGCCTCTTGGGCCCTCTTGGGGCCCTCTAGGGGCCATCTTGGAGGCCACTTGGGCCATCATGGGGCTCTCTTGGGGGCCTCTTGGGCGATCTTGGGGGCTTCTTGGGCCGTCTTGAGCCGTCGGAGAGCCGAAAAGGCGCAAATGCCAAAATCCTTCAAAAACCAAGGAAAATCAATGATTTTGGCCTCTTCGGACTCTCCTGGAGGACCTCTTGGAGGCCTCTTGGGCCGTCTGGGAGGCCTCTGGGGGGCCTCTTGGGCCTTGGGCCGTCTTGGGCCGTCTTGGACTCTCTTGGGCCGTTTTGGAGGCCGTCTTGGACCATCTCGGGCGGACTTGGAGGCCATCTTGGGCCATCTTCGCGATTTTTTGAGGATGTCCCGAGCGAAACGGCCGTTTTTGGGCATTGACAGACGCATTTTGGGAAATTCGCGGGTGGCAGGCGGGACGGGCCGAAGCCCACTGGGGAGTTCTTTTAGAAAAAGAACCAAAACCAAAACCTGAATCATCCAGCACGCCGTGCACCCCTGCAAGCAGGGGGCGGCGGATCTAGCGGCTTTCGGCCCATCCTGCCACCGCACTTGGGTTGCGGGTCAGAGTTCTCAGGGATATTCTCTTGCACAGCTGTGCTCTAGAGCTCGGACATCTTTATTCTCTTGCACAGCTGTGCTCTAGAGCTCGGACATCTTTATTTTCGTCGTTCGTCGTGTCGTTCGTCCCCCTCGCCCCCCCCCCTGTCCACGCTTCCCAGGGTAGCCCCCCTGGGCCACGGAACCCTTTATTTTCGTCGTTCGTCGTGTCGTTCGTCCCCCTCGCCCCCCCCCGTCCCCCTCGCCCCCCCCCTGTCCACGCTTCCCAGGGTACACCCTCGCCCCCCCCCCCCTGTCCACGCTTCCCATTTTCGTCGTTCGTACGCCCCCCTGGGCCACGGAACCCTTTATTTTCGTCGTTCGTCGTGTCGTTCGTCCCCCTCGCCCCCCCCCCTGTCCACGCTTCCCAGGGTAGCCCCCCTGGGCCACGGAACCCTTTATTTTCGTCGTTCGTCGTGTCGTTCGTCCCCCTCGCCCCCCCCCCTGCCCCCCCATTCCACGCTTCCCAGGGTAGCCCCTGGGCCACTTTTATTTTCCGTGTCGTGTCGTGTCGTTTCGCCCCCTGCCCCCCCCCCCTCTGCCCCCCCCCGCCCAGGCTTCCCAGGGCAGCCCCCCTGAGCCTCGGACACCTTTGTGCAAGAGCCAGGGCACGCGTGCCACTTGTTTTCGTCGTTCGTTGTGTCGTTCGCCCCCCTCGCCCCCCTCCCGCCCCCTCGCCCCCCCCCCTGTCCACGCTTCCCAGGGTATCCCTCGCCCCCCCCCCCTGTCCACGCTTCCCAGGGTAGCCCCCCTGGGCCACGGAACCCTTTAATTATCTTGCACAGCTGTGCTCTAGATCCCGGACATCTTTATTCTCTTGCACAGCTGTGCTCTAGAGCTCGGACATCTTTATTTTCGTGTCGTGTCGTGTCGTTCGTCCCCCTGGCCCCCCCCCTGCCCCCCCCCGTCCAGGCTCCCCAGGGCAGCCCCCCTGGGCCTCCCGTCCAGGCTCCCCAGGGCAGCCCCTCTGGGACTCGGACACCTTTATTTTCGTGTCGTGTCGTGTCGTTCGTCCCCCTCCTCCCCCCTGCCCCATCCCCGCCCAGGCTTCCCAGGCTCTTGGGGAGCCACTGGTCCTGGTCCTGGCCTCCCTGGCCCCGCTGGCCCTGGTGTCCTGGGCCCAGCCTCACCCTCTGGCCCTGGCCACAAAAAGTGAACTCCTGGAGGAAGGAGGCGAACGCTTCCTGTCTCCAGCAGCTCCTTTGTGCAAGAGCCAGGGCACGCGTGCCACTTGTTTTCGTCGTTCGTCGTGTCGTTCGTCCCCCTCGCCCCCCCCTGTCCCACGCTTCCCAGGGTAGCCCCCCTGGGCACGGAACCCTTTATTTTCGTCGTTCGTCGTGCGTTTGTCCCCCTCGCCCCCCCCCGTCCCCCTCGCCCCCCCCCTGTCCACGCTTCCCAGGTACCCCTCGCCCCCCCTGTCCACGCTTTCCAGGGTGCCACGGAACCCTTTATTTTCGTCGTTCGTCGTGTCGTTCGTCCCCCTCGCCCCCCCCCCCCCTGTCCACGCTTCCCAGGGTAGCCCCCCTGGGCCACGGAACCCTTTATTTTCGTCGTTCGTCGTGTCGTTCGTCCCCCCACCCCCCCCTGTCCACGCTTCCCAGGGTAGCCCCCCTGGGCCACTTTTATTTTCGTGTCGTGTCGTGTCGTGTCGTTCGTCCGTCGTGTCGTTCGTCCCCCCCCCCCTGCCCCTTCCCAGGGTAGCCCCCCTGGCCACTTTTATTTTCGTGTCGTGTCGTGTCGTTCGTCCCCCTGCCCCCCCCCCCGCCCAGGCTTCCCAGGGCAGCCCCCCTGAGCCTCGGACACCTTTGTGCAAGAGCCAGGGCACGCGTGCCACTCGTTTTCGTCGTTCGTCGTGTCGTTCGTCCCCCCTCGCCCCCCCCCCCTGTCACGCTTCCCAGGGTAGCCCCCCTGGGCCACGGAACCCTTTATTTTCGTCGTTCGTCGTGTGTTCGTCCCCCTCGCCCCCCCCCTGTCCACCGCTTCCCAGGGTAGCCCTCTGGCACGGAACCCTTTATTTTCGTCGTTCGTCGTGTCGTTCGTCCCCCTCCCCCCCCCCCCCCCCTGTCCACGCTTCCCAGGGTAGCCCCCCTGGGCCATTTTTATTTCCGTGTCGTGTCGTTTCGTGTCGTTCGTCCCTGCCCCCCCCCTCTGCCCCCCCCCGCCCAGGCTTCCCAGGGCAGCCCCCCTGAGCCTCGGACACCTTTGTGCAAGAGCCAGGGCACGCGTGCCACTTGTTTCTTCGGGTCTCTTCGGGGCGCCGTCGGGGGCCTCTTCGGAATAGTTTTGGGGCCTCTTGGGGGCCTCTTAGGAGCCTCTCGGGCCCTCTTGGGAGCCTCTTGGGGGCTTCTTGGGGGCCTCTTGGGGCCTCCTGGTGGGCCCTCGGGGCCGAGGGCTCGAAATGTCCGTTCGGGTCGGGTCCACCGTCTGGGCCCCCTCTTGGGGTCGTCTTTGGGCCAGGACCGTATTGGGCCGTCCTGGGCGCCTTGCAGGCCGTCGTGGGGCCCTCTGGGGACATCTCGGGGCCCTCTTGGGCGCTTCTGGGGCTGTCCTGGGGCTATGTTGGGGACCTCGCGGGCCGACTTGGAGCGTCGGAAGGCAGAAAACGCGAGAAGGCCAAAACCTTCAAAAACCACAGGCGAATCAATGATGTTTGCCTCCGGGGGCCCTGTTGGGACGCCTCTTGGAACACTCTTGGGACGATTTCGGGTCCTTTTGGGCAGACTAGAGGCCATCTTGGGCGCATGGGGCACTCTTGGTCCTTTTCAGAACCATCTTCGGCCCTCTTGGATGCTTTCTTGGCCCATGTTTGGCTGGCTGCGCCACTGAAGGACGCGCGCAACTCGCCCGGGGAATCCCCAGAAATCCCGGGGAATCCCCAGAAATCCTTGGACATTCTTGTGAAACCGGTGGTCCGGGCCCTGATTTTTTGTTGAACTTTACAATTCTGAATTCTTCAGGGCTGCATGAGTGTTGGGGCACTCCATGACGTGCTGCAGGCACGGTGGCGTATATTTCTGTATAGGTATACAGAAAAAGGGCAGGAAGAAAGAGAGCGAGAGAGTAATATTGACAGAGGGAGAGGCAGAAAGGAAGAGAAACACACACACACACACACACCCACACCCACACCCACACCCACACCCACACGCACACGCACACGCACACGCACACGCACACGCACACGCACACGCACACGCACACGCACACGCACACGCACACGCACACGCACACGCACACGCACACGCACACGCACACGCACACGCACACGCACACGCACACGCACACGCACACGCACACGCACACACACGCACACGCACACGCACGCACACGCACACGCACACGCACACGCACACGCACACGCACACGCACACGCACACGCACACGCACACACACACACACACACACACACACGCACACACACATATATATATATATACATATATATATATAGAGAGAGAGGGAGAGGGAGAGAAAAAAGAGAGAGAGAGAGAGAGTAAAAGTAAGAGAGGCATTGAGTGTGTGTGTGTGTGTGTGTACATACGTACGTAGAAGCGAACGAGTACGCACAAACAGTAAAAAGCGCTCCTCGAGCCTCGACGGCGGCGGCGACGGCGGCGGCGGCGGCGGCGACCGCCCGGGGTGGCGAAAGGTCAGACGGCTATCCGAGGCGAGCTTGCCGGTGAGCTCCCCGCAGCGCGCGGAGCCCCAGGCGGAAGCCCCACCGCCCAAGGCGGCCGCGCGGCAGGGGTGGGACGCCACCAGGCCCCGTCGCGTGGTGCAGACGCCGCAACGGAAGGTTTTTTTAGAGAGAGGTGTTCTGCTCCTGGGGGCCCTCACGCGGCTCCGAGGACCGTCAACAATCGGGGGTGGACAGACCTCCCAACAGTGACACGTCGATTAGTGAATTGTCCGTTTTCGGTTCTCGAGAGGGCGCCGCGGCCGTTATTTTCCAGGCTTGCGCCCGCCAGGTTTGGGCCCGAGGTCGTTTTCATTAAACCACGTTTTACTAAAGGGAGGTCTGTCCATCCCCGAAACAAACGGTTCGAGAGGAAGCACCAGTCCCCGGGAAGGTGTCCAGCGCTTTGGGGGGCCCACGTCGTGGTCAGAATGGGTAATTACGTCGGGGGTCTGGGATGGTTGAGGCGGGCGGCTGCGCGGAAGAGTGAACTTCGCCAGAGCGGCGTGCGGTGCGGGCCCGCCGGGGCTCCCCGATCGTGGACTGCGGAGCGACAGACATCACACCGGCTTGCGCGCTCTCAGGTCGGGCCCCCCCCCCCGCGCAGGCCAGGAGCCGCGCACCAGAGGCCACTCTCTCTTGCCTAGAGAGCCATGCGTCTTGTGGCCGAGCTGCAGAGGTCGGGAGCGGAAAAGAGGGGGGTGGTGACTAGGGGGGGGGGCGATTTCATGGCGCGGGCCATGATTTTTCCCCAGATTTCATGGCGCCTCTTCTTATTTCATTACGTCCCAGCCCCCCCCGCTGGGCCGCGCACATGCCGCCAGTCATGATTTGCACCCCCCCCTCTTGGACACCCCCCTCTTGGCCGCTCCCGAAGAGGATGGAAGAGGATGCGTGCCGTGCTCGGGGTTCGATGACCGCGGTGTTCCGACATCTTGAGGTGCTCTTGCGGAGACCGCGGGGTTCCCGTCGGAGTCTCGAGAGAACGCACCCCCGGACACTTCTGGGGGGCGATGTTGGAATCCCGAGGCTCGGACCTCCGGCGGACTGTGTTTCTCAATCTCCCAGGTCTGTCTTGTTGGTGAGACATCGTCGGCCTTTGGGAACCGCTCGAGGGCCCCAGCACCATCACAGATCAATCCCGGGTGAAAGGTCCCTCCCTGAGGAGGGGGTCGGCAGACTTGGGGCCGCAGACGGTGAGAAACGTGTCGACGTGTGCCTGGGGGCTGCGGGGGGGGGGGGCACGTGCAGTCAGGACGCCGTGACTCTGCTGGGGAAGCGGCGCGGTGCTCCTTGTGCAGATCCATGCCGGGCGTTTCTCTCGCGCAGGTGGGCGCAGCTGAGGCCCAACGGGGGCGGGTGCTCTGCGGTTCCTTGCCCAAGTTCTCCGTGCGCAGAACTTTGAGTGTATTCTGGCGATGGCTCCTGCTCCTCCTCCTCCTCCTCCTCCTCCTCCTTCTCCTTCTCCTCTTCCTCTTCCTCTTCTTCCTCATCCTGCTCCTCCTCATTATCCTCCTCCTCCTCCTCTTCCTTCTCCTCCTTCTTCTCCTTCCTCATGGGTCTGGCTCTGTCTGAGAAAGTAGGGTTGGCGGACTGCGCGACTCGTTTGGGGACGGTGGCTAGCTGCTTGTTTAAGTAGATGCTTGGGCTGATCTGGTCATAGTTTTCTCCGTCAAGCAATCGCAAGAGCAAGGATGGAGGAGAGCCGCTGAGGGGTGCTGCCTATGCTTGCACGGACTGGGCTATGTAGCGTACCAGCGTGCCAGAGTCTCTCGCACATCTTCCCCATGCTGCGCTTCCCTCCCCCATCCCCTCATCCACCTCTCCGTCCACCTCTCCCTGTCCATCCTCCTCCTTTTTCTGCTGCTGTTGCTACTGGTCTTGCTTCGGTGGCTTCTCCTCCTACTCCTCCTCATCCTTCTCTCGCTCCTGCTCTTCCTCATCATCATCCTCGCCCGCGGGGCGAGATGAAGTAAGTACTCCTCAGTGCGGAAGGAAGGAGGAGGTCGAAGACGAAGAGCAGCAGCAGATGGAGGCTGGAGGTGGAGGCGGAGGGGAAACGTTAATATGGTTCCTCATGCGTTCGGGCAGTTCAGCTGTGTTTGGAACACGTGTAGAAGGCTTCCGGAGATGTCGTGAGACTTCGTGATGTTTTCCGAAGTTTTAGGACGCTTCCAGAGGAGAATGAGGATGAGGATGAGGATGAGAAGGAGGAGGATGAGGAGGAGGAGGAGAAGAGAAGAAGGACGACGGGGGTCTTTGGTGCAGCGACTCCCTCCTTCCCTCGTCGTCTATTTCCTCATTCTCCTCCTACTCCCCCTCCTCCTCCTCCTCCTCCTCCTCCTCCTCCTCCTCCTCCTCTTCCTCATCATCATCGTCATCATCATCATCATCATCATCATCATCATCACCATCACCATCACCATCACCATCATCATCATCATCATCATCATCATCATCATCATCATCATCATCATCATCATCATCATCATCATCATCATCATCATCATCATCATCATCCTCATCCTTCTCATCCTCCCACTCCTACTTCTACTACTCTTATTCCTCCATCTCTGGCACGGCCACCTGCCACCCTGAGCGCCCGATGCTCCGTCAGGAGCTGCGAGCTGGAGGACACCGCGCAGCAGCACGTTGCACCCCCCACCAAGGGGCACAAGCCTGTTTAGCTCGTAGGGGAAGAGGCCCCCTGATTCGCACCTGACACCGTTGCGGCGTCGCACGTTGCGAGACCGCAAATACGGCCTCGAATGTTGCAACAAGCTGCATGTTGAAGGGAACAGAAGCCCTGCCCGTTGTCACCTTCCCCCTCTGGTCGCAGTGGGTGAAAACTCCCGCCCCGCAGATGAGCCAACCAAGATGCGAGATTCGGAAGGCTGGGCCGACTGCGCGAGATCCGGCGAGCGATCCCGTCGTGGGGCCTCGGGCGCAGGAGCGCCGCGGGCTGCTTCTTTCTGCTCCGCCTCCTCGCCGCCATCCACCGGCGGGCGGTCCCGACAGGGCTCCAGGGGGAGGCTCCGGGGGGGGGCGCCACGGGAGGCAGGGGGAGCCGAAAGAGGAGGCGGACCGGGACCGACCGGACGGAGACCCATGGTGAGCCTGCAAGGGAGTTTCAGCACTGCGTGAAGCAGGCATCCGAAGAAGAGGCTGGGCTGCCCCGTCATCCTGGCCCGTCCTGGCTGCCAGACAAGCAGGCGATGCGAGAACAGTCCCCTCGTCGGGACCGCGCGGTGGAGGGACTGGAGACGTCGACGGGGGACGAGGAGGCGGCGCTGCTGCTGCCACCCCGTCACCCAGATCCTCCTCCTCCCCGTCTCCCCCTCCCTTCCCCTCCGGAGGCAGAGAGAGAGCCAGAAAACTCCGAGCACGTCCGAAGATCTCGATCCTTGATCCTCCTCCTGCTCCTCGTCGTCGTCCTCCTCGTCCTCCTCCTCGTTCTCCTCTTCCTCCCATGCTGGGCCCCAGAAGTCCCAGCCTCGTGCCCAGGGCCAGCTTCTCATCCCGAGTAGATTTGCCGCCCGGCGCCCGATCCCCCCCCCCTCCGCGGAGGCCGAACTCCAGGAGAGCAGCCGCACCGAACAGTCACGACGTCGGAGGTCTAAGTCCTCATCCTCCCTCCCTCCCAACCTCGACCCTCCTCCTCCTCCTCCTCCTCCTCCTCCTCCTCGATCCTCCTCCTCCTCCTCGATCCTCCTCTCCTCCTCCTCCTCGATTCTCCTCCTCCTCCTCCTCCTCCTCCTCCTCCTCCTCCCCGGACCTCCTAGCCTCGATGTTCCTCATGCTCCCTCCTCTCCCCGGTCCGCCCGCCTCCTGCGGGGATGTTGCCCTGCACCCCGAAGGTGGAGCGCGCCCCCACGACAGCGGGAGCAGGAGGAGCCAGGGCACGTACAGTGGGGGCCCATGCCGAGATCTAGGCCTCCTAGATAGGGTTGGAGTGGATGGGGTCGGGGGATCGCGCCGCATCGCCGATGCATCGCCGATGCGGCTCGATGCGAAGCCCGATTTACTTCACGATGACGTCGCCGATGCACCGCCCACGTCGCCGATGCATCGCTGATGCATCGCCGATGTATCGGCGATGCGGCGCGGTCCCCCGACCCCATCTACTCCGACCCCATCTAGGAGGCCTCTACAAGAAACACCCTGCTTGCCTCCAGGGTGCCCTGGGTTTCTTGGGCTTCGATGGTTTTGCTGTGGGAAGCACGACGCTCCCACACCAGAAATTAATGGACGTCCTGGGGTCGCAGGGTTAGGATTCTTGTGGAAGGTTCCTTGTGGACGGGCCTCCACTGTACGCCAACACGCCGACCCCTTGCAGCGCCGCCGCCCCCGCCGCGCCGCCGCCGCCGTTGTCGTTGCCGCCGCCGCCGTCGCCATTGCCGTTGCCGCCGTCGCCGTCGCCGTCGTCGTCGGCCCTGATTAGTAGGTCGGCCATGCCAAATCGAGAGCACCCCTGTGTCATGTCTATCCCGACCTGATGGCAGCCCGCACGTCTTTTGGTGCTCTGGGGCCACGTTGCCGTCGGAAGAGTCTGGTGTCCTCTCGGGTGCCCTGTTCCTATCAAGGCCAATTTTATGCAGGCACGCCTTGGGAGGCGCTTTGCGGGAAGCTCGCGCTCCCCCCCTGTCGCTGGGGATCCCACTGGGCGCAGGCACGTGGTATCACTTGGCCCAGACCTCGGACGCCATGATTTCTGCAATGCCCGTGGTCCCTCCTCGATGATTGGCCTCCGGAGGCCTGTTTCGAGCCCAGGGCCGCAGGAAACATCGCCATGGATTCGGGGGCGGCCAAGAAGGGGGGGATGACAAGGGGGGGGGATATCTCATGGCGGGGGCCATGAGGTCTCCCCAGATGTCATGGCGCCTCTCCTTACTTCAGTACGTTACAGGACCCCCCCTTTGGGCCGCGCACGTGCCGCTGGCCATGATTTGCGTGCCCCCCTCTTGGACGCCCCCCCCCCTTGGACGCCCCGATGGATCAACCTGGCGCGGCCGATCCGAACCGACTCCGACTCCGTGCCGATGTGGCCGATCCTAGCCGATTCTCCGATTCGATGCTGTCCAAGCCATCTGATGTCCTGATGTATTCAACATGGGGTCTCCGCAACTCCCGATCTTTTTTCCAGGGCCGGCGTTTCATCCTGAGTCGGCTTTGCTGGCCCTGGGCCCGACGAAGGCCCCCGGAGGCCGAAAGCGTTGAGAGAGAATTCCGTCTTGCTATAGCTTCAGGACGCTGACACAAGGACCAGCTTGGGTTCGGGAGGGGCTCGCTGTTCCTCTACTCCTTCCGTGGTTGTTCCTCTAGCCCCCCTCGTGAAGCGAGGTGTTGCTGGCGGCAAGGGAGGGGCTCCGGTCCCTGCCCAGCGTTCCTTATGCCAGCAGCCCCTGCGTAAGTCCAGGACGCCAGATGTCTGAGGACAGCTCCTGCCCGGCGGAGGAGGAGCCGGCGGGGGCAGCGGCATGGGGGACGAGCAGGTGAAGCAGTTCCTGCAGGCGCCCGCGCCTCCTGGCGGCGGGGGGGGCACACATACACACTGCTCATTTCTAATGCTTCGAGAGTTCTCTGATTTTTGGGGAGGCCAGGATCCTTTCATTTTTAGTTGTTCTATCCTGGGTCTCTTCCTAGCCACGAGGGGGCCAGGAGCAATTAGAAACTAGCACACTTAGAAATGAGCACGACTCGAAATGAACGACGTGTTCCTCTGGCGTCGCAGCCTTCTCGCGACGCGGTGCCCTCGGGGGAGGCCAGGCAGTGCCCGATTCGATCCCATCCCCTGGCTCCGGCCTGGACCCGGTGTTCGACCCGACACGAGCCAGGACCCTCTCCGGCCTGCAGGGGCTATAGGCCCGATCCTCGATCCCAGATTCAACGAGCGCATTCCACCATTCGCAAAGTGCCTACTCGCCAACGTCAGAGAAAAGCGCACATGTCTGCATTGATGTACTGTGTCGTAGATCCCTCGCGGCGGATCCAGGCCGTCTGCGAGCAGTGACTCTTCGGGAAGTGGAACGCGCTCCTCTACAGATGGTCCGATCCCGATCCGATCCGGTTCCGCGGCTCGATAAAGCTGGGGCCTGCCAGCCGTGCCCCAGACTGCCAGAGAGCAGACGCACCCTGGAGAGGAGCCCTCGGGGCCCCCCTCGGGACACCCAGATTTTTTTTTTTTTCCGCCCGAAGTCCCCCTTGTAGAGGGGACGTGCCCGACCGAACCCATGTTTTGACCGTGTTGGTGCATTTTGTTGACTGTTTCTGATCTGTCGCCCGAAATCCCCCTTGCATCAGAGCGTGAATTACCTACCCCGCTTTCGCTTCCAGGCAAAACCAAATCATACCACGCGCCTCCTCGTCAAGCGGCCTGACCAATACAGGCCGTAGTTTGGCATCGCTCGGTATCTCTTGGAAGCGAGGGTGGTCAAAAGCGAGGCAGGTTTGTTTGCCCCCTATTGTAGGTAGGGGGGACGTGCCCGGCCGAACGCCAGGGGGCGCAGCCGCAGCGCTTCCAAGCGAGACCACCGCGGGGGTCAGGGCGGGCGCCCGTGCTCGGGCCGCCCCCGAGATCGGGGCCGGGGAGCCGGCTCTCGTGTCCGAAGCGGGAGGCTGCTTCAGAGCCTGGATCGCCAGGAGGAATGTCGAGCACCAGAAAGGTGCCGAAGCTCGAGGGTTTTCGCGTGTCGGGCCTTGGGAGGCACTCGTTCGACGCCGGTTCGACGCTCTGTCGGCATTCTTTTGACACTTTTCTGGATGCTCGAGGTTATGTTTGGGCTGTGGTCCTTCAGTACGATGGGGGCAACATAAGGCTAGAGCCGTGGCCAGGAGAGCGCCCCCGTTCCTCAACATCGGCGCTCCCCTGTGGTGCGGTCCGGCCTAGGTGCCAGATCGAGGTCGTTTCGGGGCTGCGCTACGCTGCTCCCGATCGGCCCGAAGGCCGTGCCAATCTCGAACTTGGGGGGGGGAACTTGGCCCGTGCCTCCAGCACCCCGGCAAGCGTGCGATCGTCTTGCGTGGATTGCTTCGTCTCGGGCAGGCAGGGGCGGGGAAGGAAAGAGGGCGGGGGAAAGGGGGCACAAGGGAAGAACACCGTGAGATCTCGTTCGCGGGGGCCTTCACGAGGAACTCCGCGCTGACAGGCGCAGATTCGATCGGTCCACCTCTGAAGCTGAAGCGGGCGGCCTCGATGGCGCGCTCGACTAGGCCGCCAAGCTTACGAAAGAGAACCCGTCTGCGACAGATGCCCGTGCTCGACTTGCTGGATTGGCAAATGCCTCTGGCGGACGTCCTCGCGCGTCCTGGGGGAGGGTGCCCTCGAACGTCCTTCCGTTTGGCCGGGGGAGGGCCTCATGTTCTGGAAGGTTGCTTTTCTGTCCCGCGTCCGGCCGTCGCACGACGGCTGCACGTCGCCCCGGGGCGGCCCGGCGGCGGCGGCCAGCGCCGCCGAGGCGAGGTCGGCCCGACGCGGCGGGGGGGCGGGCCGCCGCCGCCGCGGCCCTCCGCGGCCAGGGGCTCGCGCGGCGCGGCGCCCGCGCGGCGCGGCGCCGTCGTCGTGGGCCTGGGCGCGCTCCGGTCGGCGGCGGGCGAGAGGGGGGGGGAGGGAGAGGGAAAAGGCCTTCGCAGAAGGCGGCGGGGCTTCTCAGAAGCCCTCGCGCCTGCCGGCGCTCTTGTTCGGGGGTGTCTTCGGGAGGACCTGGAAAGCCTTCTTTTCAGGTGTGCGAATTCGGGGAGGGACCTCCGAGCCTGCTGAGAAGGCCCGACCCTTCTCACTTTCCCCCCAGGCGCGCCGCCGATCTGGGGGGCCGTATTCGTGTGTGTGTGTGTGTGTGTTGTGTGTTGTGTGGTGTGTGGTGTGTGGTGTGTGGTGTGTGGTGTGTGGTGTGTGGTGTGTGGTGTGTGCGTGTGTGCGTGCGTGCGCGCGTGCGTGCGTGCGTGCGTGCGTGTGTGTGTGTGTGGTGTGTGGTTGGGCGCGTGCGTCCTTTGCGGGCTCCCTACTCTCGAGGTCTCCAGCAGGGGGCCACCAGGACGCTGTCGGAGAGTCCTGGAGGCCCGAGCAGGGCCCAGGCAGAGGCCCAAAAGCCTCGGCCCTCAGTCTTCAGCCCTCAGGGACGGAGGAAGATCCAGACCTTCGACGTCGTGGTTTCTGTCTCGCCAGTTCACGCGCGTGGATCCCCAGAGGTCGCGACCCCCCACAGGACCAGCTCCTCGCCCCGTGTTGTGGTTCGACGGCGCCGGGGCCGGGCACGGGCCCACATGCTGTGTCGTGCCTTGGCGGCCCCAGAGGGCAGCAGCAGTGTCCGAGGCGAAGCTGCTCACGACGCGCTGTGGTCTGGGGGAGGAGGAGGAGGAGGAGGAGGAGGAGGAGGAGGAGGAGGAGGAGGAGGAGGAGGAGGACGGGCCCCCGCGTATGTTTTGAGTATTTTTAATTTTTCGCCCAAGCTCCCCCTGTAGGGGGACACGTCCGACTTTTGGCAAGCCCCCCCGCGCGGGCGGAGGGGGGCACTTTGGGTGGGGCCCTGCTGCACGAACGGCAAGCTGCCGCGGCGGGGAAGCCTGACGCGCTGGCGCGCTCCCCCTACAGTTGGGGCGCCGAAGAAGGAACCCTTTCCGTTGGGGAGGGGCTCGGTGTTCCTTGATTGCTTTGCCGTTCGCCTAGGGTTTTCCTGACAAGTTTTCCCTGGGAGATCGAAGTGGAACTTTTGGAAAAAAAGAGGCCTCGTTCCTTCTTTAGGGGTCCTTAGGTCAACGCCCCGACTGTACGCACCGGGCAAAGCCTCTCCCGAAGGCAGGGGGGCGGGGCTGCTGCCGAGGCTGGCGGGCGATGTGTCGGCCGAGTGTCCCCGTGGCGTGCGGGCCGTGAACTGTCCGTGTCGTTGCCGTCATCCTCCGGCGAAGCGTTGAGCACAGCGCAGTATCCATTTGCCTGCGTGCCCCTGGGCTCAGCAGCGACTCCTGGGTCCCCCGCGGGGGCTCGAAGACGACCGCGCTCGGCGCGTCGCGGTCTGGCGCAAGGGCGCGAAGGCAGCCGCGCGTCACGCACCGCGGGGCGCGACCTGGGACTCCGAACAGCATGCGGTGCGGAGGCGTCTCGCTGTCTTCGGCCTCCAATGGCACGGCGCCTCGGGCCCCACCGCCTCCAGCACGCGGAGGGGCTCCCAAGGGGGAAGGGGTGCCGGGGCTCCGGGGCCCGCCGGTTTTGTGCAGGAGATGGTCACATCAGGAGGAGGAGGAGGAGGAGGAGGAGGAGGAGGAGGAGGAGGAGGAGGAGGAGGAGGAGGAGGAGGGGGAGGAGGAGGAGGAGGAGGAGGGCTTTCCACGACTTTCCCCGAGGACGACGTCCCACTCGTCTCCTGCGGGCCTGCTGGCGGTGGGCGCAGGCCTCATCTCCGGCCTCGCCGCCGCCCTCCAGAACTGTCCCGTTTGTCTCCCTGGGCGTGGCCCCCGGGTCGTAGTCTAGGGACTTCCAGTTCGTCTTCTCCGTACCCTTCGGGAGCCACACCACTAGCCTGGCGGTTACTTCTGCTGCCATGCAGGCTGCATGGGCTTGTCGGTCTGCTGGTTCTCTGTCTTGGCGGTCGTTCGTAGTTTTGGCCCTCTGCTAGGTATTGGCCTTCTTCTCGGTCGGTCTGCACAGTCGGTCTGCTGATGCTCAGTCGGTCGGCCTTTAGCTTGTCCGTTGCTGCTCAGTCGGTCTGGTGGGTTGGTCAGGTGCTGGTCGCAGTGGTGCTGTTGGTGGTGCTGCGGGTCGCAGTGGTGGTGCTGCCGACTGGTCGGTGCTGGTCTGAGCTGGTCGGTGCTGGTCGGTCGGTGCTGGTGCGTGCTCGTCCGTGCTGGTCGGTGCTGGTCTCTGCGCGTCTGTGCATCGTCGGTCACCTTCGTGAATACCATCTGCCGCAGCACCTCGAGCACGACCTCAACATTGACTTGACACGAATGAAGGTGCAACTGCCACGGCGGGTTTGGGAGCCCTGTCTAACCGTGGAGCCATTCTTTACTCTACTCTCGATTCGGTAGGCGGTGGCCTCATGGATGGGTGAAGTTAACCAGCACGCTGCACACGAACGCAAGTGCCGTCGGGCGTCTCGTACTCCACAGTGGCAAAGAAACATCGTGGTGCGTCGGGCAGCCCCGTAGTGCGTGGCGTACTCAACTGCCGTCGAACATCTGGTAGATCACAGTGGTGCATCACAGTGGTGCGACAACGTGTCACATCGACGAATCAACGGTTGGCTCTCACATGCTCATTTCAGAAAGAGCGTGTTCTACCGCTGCTGGCGGAAGACGGGGGGGTCACGGGGTGTTCCCAACCCGTCCCCCCCCCCCTCGAAAACCGGGGGTCGGTCACTACCGGTTCGAACCCCTCCAACCCCCCAGTCCATCATAAAAAGGGGGGGGTCACTACCGGTTCGAACCCCCCCCTCACGAAAATCGGGGGGGGTCACTGCCGACTAGAACCACCCCCCCGCCGCCGGCAAACAATTCCCTCTCCTCGGGCCAGTTGGAC